GAGAGAGAGAGAGAGAGAGAGAGAGAGAGAGAGAGAGAGAGAGAGAGAGAGAGAGAGAGAGAGAGAGGTTGTGAACAAACAAACAGACAGATACAATCTCAAGACAGACACAATCTCAGCGGGCAGAAATGAGAGGAAGCAGGATCGAAAAGGTTCAGGAAAAGACGAGTACGGATTGGACTTGGTCGTCGAGTAGCAGTGCAGCTCCCGAGAGGCCTCTGCAGAGATAACAGCCGGCGTAATGACGGATGTCGACCTGCCGGTTCGGTCGTAGGCACTAACCAGGGTAATTATGTGGTATACTACTCATTTGCTTGTAATAAAGACTAAAAGAGAGCTATACATACATAGTCAGCTGCGTAGACGGAAGGTACAGTAGATTAGCTTCGGAGGAGAACGAGAGGAGAGTGACAGAGTCAGAGATTGAGAGGCACATAACAGGAGGGAGGGGAGGGAGGGAGCAGCAGGGTGGGGAGTTGACGGGTTGCAGGGGCTGCATGCACCAGTCGAAAGGGCCTAAGCCATTTGGTGCCTTTGCTGCCAGATCGAATTGCGCTCGGGTTGTAAGGGTGCGCGATACCCAGGACACTGAGTGAGTGAGTGAGTGAGTGAGCAATTGAGTGAGTGAGGAAGTGAGTGAGCGAGTGAGTGTAATCTCTTCAGGCAATGCTCTGTTCTCTCCGCATGGATTCCAGCCTCCCGTCCCTCAAGAACTTGAGCAGGGCATTAGCTTTCTCTTGCGCACGAGCGGACGCCTCCTCGGATTTGGAAAGGGCAACGAGGTAGGGCATCGCTCCTTCCTGTATGAGGAGCGCTCTGTGTCGCTGGCTGTTCAGCGCCATGAAAAGGAGTGTGACAGCGGCGTTCTCCTTGGCTTTCCACGATCCGACCTCCAACGTCTCCACAATCACAGGGATAGCTCCTTCCTCCCCGAGGGCTGCCCTGCCCTCAGGTATTGTCGCCAGGTTAGAGACGACTGCCACCGCTTTCTCCACCATCGCCTGATCTGGCTGGTTCTTCATAAGCTCAATGCACGGACCAACCGCCCCAGCCCTGACGATTCGCAGCTTGTTTGCAGGCAGTATGGACAGATTGTAGAGCGCCGTGGCGGCGTCTTTCTTCCCTGTCATGCCGCCGTTAACCAGCAGGTCGACTAACGCAGGAATGGCGCCGGATTGACCTATGAGAACCTTGTTCTCGTCATTAACGGACAAACTGAAGAGCGCCGCGGCCGTGTTTTCCCTGGCGACCGTGCTGCCAACCCTCAGCACTCGAACGAACTCGGGGACTGCCCCCGCGGACACTATGTCCGTCTTATTCTCCATATTTATGGACAGATTGAGAAGAGCCGTCACTGCGTTCTCCACTATCCAGGCGTCAGGCGAAGCAAGCAGCCTGATTAATGGAGGGATCCCGCCTCCCGCCGCGATCCCGGCGCGGTTCTCTTTGGTGAACTTGGCTATGAGTCGAAGCTCTCCCGTCGTCTGGCGCAGAACCTGCAGATCGTCGTCTTCCAGCCGCTTCACCATCTCTGCGACCTCTTCCTCCCTCCTCACTCGTCTCGCTTCCTCGGGACTCATCTGGGGAAGTTGAGCGATTGGCCCCTGAATGGGAGTGGGGCTAGCTTCACGAGCGAGAGAGAATCGCCCTCCTTCCTTCACCGATTGCGCTCTGGACAACGGACCCCCCCCCATCCGCATAGCGGCCGGGTTCCCGGCCATCATAACGGGCTGTAGATGCTGAGGCGGGCGGGGTCCGGACATGCAGTAAGGGAGCGCCCCTCCGCCACCGTCCATCATATGCTGCGGGATGGGCGGCATGCGCTGGCGCGGAGCGAAGCCCATGCGCGGGTGAACGGGACTGTGGTGCGACGGGTACCCACCGCGGAACGCTGCCCCGCCATCCCCCATTCCCTCTGCGCAATCGGACGTCACGCGCCTGTGCCGCGCCGCGATTCCTCCGTTCATTGCCATGGCACCGGAATCGTAGCCGTTATACATCCCTACTGCCCCTGGGTGCTGTCCCTGGCGATAAATCTCCTCCCATCCCGGGCTGCTTCCATCACAGCCATCGTCCTCCCCGCTCATGAAGTTCATGGCCCCCTCCCCGCCGCATCGCCTGGGCTTCCCCGCTCCATACTCCCAACCTGCGCCTGCGACCTGCTGGTGTTCAGGGGACACTGCATACATCTGCTTCACCGATTTCACGCTCATCTGATGCCCTGCCCCCTGGAAATCGATAATGCCGGCGTTCCCTGGCTGCGCGTAGTATTGGTCTGCGTGCATTGTCAAGCCCCCGTTCCCCACCACACCTCCTCCTCCCACCTTTGCCATCCCCCCCCCATCCCCCCCACTTGAATCTCCCACCAAAGGCCCGTTACTCCCCTTTGCGACCGCGAACTGAGATGTCAGACTACGCCGCTTTGGCGGGTCCAGACGGATGGGCTCCGGTACAGGGTAGTTGTTCTTCTCGCACCATGACTGAATCATCGACTTCAACGAGTAATTAGGAGTCAGCACGGTGCTCGTCAATGCGACACGTGTCTTTGGACAAGTCAGATTACCGTCGTCCATCCATCGCTGTATGTACGCCCTTTCGTATGTAACACCGGATGGAACGACGATAACAGGGTCACCCATCAGTTCAAGCGACAGCGGACACTTCATGTCGGCCGGGATCGGGTCCTCCTCTTCCGCACCATCCCATGCTCCTAACACGCCGGAGGTGGAGGCAGACGAAGAAGAGGAGGCGGCAGCGGGATCACTGGCATCAGCGGCGTCCATATTCTTCAGCAACTCGATGATCTGATTGATGTACTGTTCCTCGATGCGATCCTTCTCCCCTCTCGCCTCCTCCCTCTCCTCCTCCAACGCCATCGCCTCCCCTTGTATTGACTCCGATGACTTAATCTCTAAGGCCTCCTTCAGTTGGGCCAAAAGTTCCCTATTTGCCTTTATACCCTCCTTCTGCTCCGCCAGCAACTCTTGCAATTCGTTCGACATTTGTTCCTCCCTGTGATCCACCGCATACTTCGTTTTCTTCAGCATATCGCTAACCTCTTGCAGCTGCAACAGACAGTGCACCAACACCGCCGTCGAGAGCGTGATCGCATCGCCGTATCCATCCAGCAGGGCAAAGCCACAACGGGAAAAACACATACAAGAGGGGGGAAAGAGTCCACGCATCCCATCAACACGCAAGGCAATCAATGCACGTTGCTACATCCCCAACAACCGACACAGCATCCCGTCCTATTCTTCTCTCTCTCTCTCTCTCTCTCTCTCTCTCTCTCTCTCTCTCTCTCTCTCTCTCTCTCTCTCTCTCTCTC